AAAGCATACATTGAAGCTGATAAGAAAATTGTGACATACCTTTAATACCAATATGACGTCCATACATTTTAGCAATTAATAAATATGACATATCATAAACAAATTCTTCATTAGGATATATTAATAAAGGTAGATGGATTGCATGTGAAATAATGACGTTGTCAGATTTTATATCATCTAATCCACGTAGAACATGTGCACTTGCGTAAGATTCTGCCATTAATCTTGCATTTGATGAATTAATAATACAAAATTCTAATCCTGATAATTCTAATAATAATTTATTCCAATGTTTTTCAACATCAGGATTATTAGGAGGGGATTTATTCACTAGTACATCTAATACAATTAATCCAACTGCACATAATAATAGAAATAATGAAAATAGAGCCAAAGGTGGTCGACCAACCAAAAATAACTTGACATAATACAACTACAAAGATAAAACCAAATATTATATACTTTAACAAAAAAAGCAATCAAGAACAAAACGATATCTTTATATCGATCACTCTTTTATTTATTTAAATACAATACAGAATTATATCGCTACAATATTAGAGATCTTTACAATTTGACATTATTTCTCCAACAACGTAAACTAATCTTGTAATTATTGTGTTTTGATTGTTTTATATCAAGAACTCGCACTCTTTTACCAAGAGGTTCTTCTGTATCGTCCATCACTATATCAAGTTTATCACCTATATAAACTGTAGTACCCATCTTAAGCAGTTTTCCTCCATTTAACCTACATCGGTTAGAAAAAAAGGCATTGTCAGCAGCACTTCTAGTGATATCTAGACCCACACGAATAATTTTATCAAAACGTAAGGATTTGACGTATGATGAGATTTGTCGAAAATGTGGACTGAACGCCATATCTTCTGAATAATATGGATCTAATTCATCGGCATTATCATCATCATCCTCATCTTCATCACCTAACTCATCATCTGAAGTATCAGAATCTTGTCCAACATGACGACATCCAGTGTGTTTCTGAAGATTTATTAAATGTATTGGAAGAAGCTTTTGAGTTGATGCCCTATCAACGTACGAAAAGCCTTTTAATAATCCACTAGGTCTCTTATATAATGAGATGCGTAATGCCAAACCAAATAAACCCCAACAAGAGTTCATTATCCATCAAAATAAGAACTAAGTCTGTAAAAAAAGCAAGATAAGAGCAGTTATTGGAAATATTCATTAATTTTTTGGAGACATTGTACCTCTTTGAAAGAGACAGTTTATCCATCAGTTAATTAAACCCTCTCTTTGTTACAAAAATCTTTTTGAAAAATAATACTGTCGCTATATAATTCCATAAAATGATGGATTTAGGAGACAGAAAGCAAAACAATCAGATACTCATAAAGACCTCCGTCGCTACTCTTTCTTTTTCATTAAAAACCACCTTTCAAGTTGAGTGTCATACTAACATATTTGAAAAGAGGCAAATGAAACCATTTAGGAGTCTTTAACCACTGTCCAGAAAGTCATACTGACTTAGCGAATAATGGAAAAAACGTTTTCAAGTGTCAAATTATAATACTAATTTCATCAAGAGATAAGGTTTCAATCCATCTCATTTCATGTAGCACAATATATGGCTGCCAAACTGTACTTACTAACCCTACGCAATCTGATTAATTTTTAAAGTAAATAGACGAGCTGTAGGCACAAAGATAACTCATTAAACTTTAAGATGTGTTACACACAGTTGTGGAAACTATATCGGTATAATTTGCGAACCCCTTACAGTAACTCAGCCAACATGTACAGGTTTGGATGCTAAACTACGAGTAACGTATCTTATCTAAGGACAAGTGATGTTACCTAGAAGTCTAAACAAATATGAACTTGTACCTCAGTTTACTGCTGACTAACACTAACCAAGTAGAATCTAAAATTCGACAGTTAATCTGCAGAAATAAGAATTAGCATTGCTACTAGTCATTATTATTTCTTTATTTAATACAGACAGATTTCAGTACAAGTAGAAACCAAAAAATGTGCTCTATACATAGAGAGAGAAAATATTGTGAACAAATAAAAAGAAATTTAGTTAGGAAGAGAATAGTATACAATAGAATACAGGTAGGCTAAAAATGTGATCAAGACAGTTTTTTCATTTAACAAAAATTATCTTATCTTAAAGAATGTAAAGGAAATTTACAGAAGCATCGACAACGACCTCTACTGTGAATCATGTCTGATAATATCTAAGGTCAATGAGTTTCATTGTCTCTTGGACTCTAACTAAGGAGTCGTAATGGACCAATATACACCGGTTACATCCAGCTTACTTTCGTACTATGGTACATTATCATAAATTGTCAAAATCTCTGCAGTTTCCATTTTATCCTAGTGTCAGCAACTCAACAACTCAGTCAGTTTCCACGGCTTTCGCATTCAAATTTCAGGCTACTACTACAGTATCGTTCGAACGCACTTTCTTGGGATCACTTGATTGACGGCAGAACTCACATTTGATTGAGTTCGGGATGAAATCGATCTGAGTGTGGATTATCAAGAAACAGCGGTTCTTACCAATCTCTTCTCACCTTTACCCAGCTTTCTAATCTAACAGCACATAAATGACTGTTAATAGGAATCACACCAATCAGTGCGGCTCCTGACCCGGGGCTCAGTACTACTTTATTTATTTAAACACATAAACACAAATAGATATGCACCACATTTTGTCATTAGATTTGTGTGAGGGCTATGATACTGTTCGAGCGCCCAAACCGGAGCAGTTAGTTTCCCTAAGGCGGCACACCCAGAGCCTTTGACCTAAAGGTCTAATCCACAAGGCAGTGGTGCAGCGTTAGGAGATGCAGTCCCATGGTGGCCGGTGGCCAACAATAGCTTCATACACCACTTGCTTCCTTAGGATCCTGGAGCCCAAGTGCAAAACTAGTTTAAAATCAAGATTTTCCAACTCCCGAGGTGGACCCATCGTATCCACTAACTCGGACATCCGCTTTTTGTCCTCTCAATTTCGTAAGCAACACCCCAGCCGCGAGAAGGCAGTGAGTAGGACTTCCCTGACAGTGGCTGTACATACATGGCCATGTGAGAGCATTCCGAGAGGGAGGACGGACTCTCCTCTCTCAAAAACATTACTCAAACTAACTTGATTTTAGAAACTCGGTAATATTATAAGACTGAAAAAATGTGACCCAAAACTAAGTACACAAAAGTAACCTTGGGCAATGGTAAAGGAACTGCCGTCAAGGGAATTAAAGATAACAGGAACGAAATAAGGGAGACATCCATCACGGAAATAAGGTGTGCATTAAGAGGAAACACACCAAAAATATTTCGTCTTCTATCGTAGTAAAATCTGCTTAGCTGATGACTATTTTAGAGTGCGTCCAACCATAAAATGAAAATAACAAGTGCCTGATATGAGATTTTAAGGCACCTGATATTAGTGGACTGAGATGGAGAGCAAACATATCAGCCATTCAGGAATGAGCTGCAAAAACAGACTGGTCAGTAGATACTGGCTCATCAGTTGAAAAGCATGGTATATATTTAAATGTAAGCTTATTTCAACTACGTTCTCCTTTATACCATGCTTAGTACCACGCACACAAAATAACTGTCCACCATAGATAACTAAGCAAGTCAAGAAACATCTTAGACGCAGGAGAATGCATTGAAATGTGTTCATCTCTGCAGGCTTAGAAAATATATATTCAATTATTGTAGGACTAGGAATGCTTGTAAAGCGTTGATAAGTAGGATTAGACAGCCCCATGAAAAACAGTTGGTTATGGATTGTGAAAATAGTCCGAAAAGGTTATTTTCGTATATAAAGAGGCAAACTCAGGGAAGTGATTGAATCCCACCAATTTTGGCGCAACAAAATTCCTTGATGTTGGCAAGAGATGGTGCCTAAAAAGCTGAAACGTGATCAAGACATTTTAGTACGATGTTTTATACCGGCAATGAGGAACGACCAACAATTAATCGTGATCAGGGCCTTGTAGTTATTGAAAAAGGAACTGTGTTAATATAACCTCAACGTCTCAAACCAGATAAGGTCGCACTTGGAATATGGTATTCAAGAAGTGAGTCCTTAAATTAGGTATGAGGCGGATATACTAGAACAAGTCCAACGACAATAGACCAAAATGGTTAAAAAGTCTCTCTGGCATATGCTAAGACAATAGACTGAGACATCTCAACTTCCGCCATCATATCACGGAATACGGGGTGCTCTGATGTTGACATATCATATGCGGAACAGCGTCCTTGGTATTAATATGTCTTATCTTTTCCTTCCATCTAGGGCTGATCACCTGTGAGGATATCCCAATAAAGTTCAAAAACCGAGATCAAATCGTTTGAGTCTGGAGTCCCATTTCCCGCACCAAGTGGTGAGTAACTGGAAATTTCTACCGGAATACGTAACATTAGCACCTTCTTTTGATAAATTAAAAACGAGACTGGACCTTTGCAGTGTAACAAATTACAAGGATTAATACAGGTCAACAGACTTATCCTTACTACTGAAGACTGGTGCTATGATCTCAAGAAAAGCAAAAGTATAGGACGAAACTATACTTAATCTGCTCGAACATTTTAAAATGATCTTCTGAAGTATTATGAATAACATCAATCATCGACAACGATGAGTCAACAATTATTGATAAGCAAAAAGTATACAGCCAAAACGATAAGGAACGAAAATGCTGCTGCATGTTTATGGCCCAAATGTTAATATACGGCTGTAGTTAAGTGTTAGTAAGTAGGATTAGCGGTTACGTCTAAGATTCTCATCACGAACTGACAGCTTTGATGTCAGGACAGTAATCATAATCATAGTCGCCAGAATAGAAGGTCATTTAAACGTCTTTGACTTTGGCAACGCTCCTAGGGTATCGTCCACTGATGGGGGTTGCGAGCACTTGAAGGTCCAACTGTCGCAAAATGATTGGTGCGTCACATCGACAATTCGTGAAAATTTTCAGAAGCGGTCAAATCAAGACATTTTTAGATTTGAATTGAGTTCAGCCACACTATGTCTAGTAATGTTCATTCTTCAAGTAACGAAGACGATGCCATCGTGATGATGCATGATATAGGTAATATGACTTCTGTGGTTAGTAATTATTTCTTTAGTATACGCATATTAAGTACGTTATGTCAGTATACAAAGAGAACAGTGATGATCCAACTCTAAAGTACTTTTTCGTGAGTTATGTCTGTACATATGGACGTAAACGCAGTCCGTCGGAGTCAGATGCTTGCGTTCAGGATGTAGATGATAGTAATAATCATTCTTCTGAAGAGCTTACAACTTCTAACTCGCCAACACAACCTAGGCAAAGGAGACGACGTCGGTCATCTACGTATGCCTTACTTCAAATGAATTTATCCTTCAGGTCGAAATATTGCGTTTCAATGACTACATACTGCCCTGTGGTCATATTTTGTATGCACATTCTAAAGGTATGTGTGTTCCTTTATCTCTATACGTTTTGTAGACTTATTTCGACATAGCAACAAGTGGACAAGAAAATACATAATGGACCTGGTTCTTCGTGCGCTGGACAACATCTCAATCTTTACAGGGAGTGATGATCTGCTAGAGAAGTTCACCAGCAACTACCACTCAATCCATGCTCTTGGTGAACCTTTGGCAAGTAAATTCATCCGTTCGTGCCTCGAAGCATCGGAAGACTTATACGCACAAGTGATGAGTTCAATCGGTGCTAATGACGAAGCTACAACGTCAGAATCCATTGTTAGTACGGACCATAGCTATGCTTCTTGATAACAAGAAGTTCTAATATTGTAATCTTTTTAGTTTTACATAAATTCATTTATATGGCCATTGACTTATTCTTATAGCGTAACGGCAGGGAGTGTACTGTGCAGTCTTATGTGGCTGTGAGACAGGGGTGTTGTTTCGCGTTCTTGTGTAATAATTACCAGTTTGGCGCACACGCGATTAGTCATACATACCGTTTACCAAATACTGCAGCCTTGAACATGGTGTACCATACTAGTAGTTCGAATTTCGACCTGTCACGATAGATACGAATTGCCGTAATTAAAAGACTGGTGCGTTATAAATGAAAACGTTTATTAAAGTTTAAATCTAACACGAATGATCCATGAATAAATAACTTCTATTTCTTAGGAATTGTTCCCGTTACGTTTGTAAACACTTGCGAAGCCAGCTGGAAATAAGATAGGCAGGGAATAGTTATTGCAGTATAAATGTTTACCAGAAACTGGTATAAAAACGGAAACCAGTATTCAATTGCAGATCGAAAGTGCATTTAGTACACCTTTTCTTTGGATAGTCAATCACGCTTATCTCCTTTATCTTATGCGTTACTTAGGAAAGTCTGGGTCGCAACATACATGGATTGTATTATTCAATTCTTTGGACAGGTTGCACTTCGGAAACTTAGATGATGTACATTTATAAGGACTACTGTGTGAACTTACTTTGAATCGTCCTGTGTAACCCGCAATTATTGATGTCTATTTTATTTTAGTCCCAAGTAAGTTGTGAGTAATTGTCATTTACGGCATCAGCACGTAAGCTAGACGGGCCTTGGTTGACTTTCGAAGATCATCACATACGATCTCAGACAATCTGGTCACCTGAGATCAAGATATCTTGATCATCGAATCGTACTTCTCAATGCTTTCTCGTAGCAGCTTTATATTAGTACTTATTTCTGTTATTAGGTATTTTTGCAGGAATACCGGCAGCCAAAACATTGTAGCTCCCCAGACAACCCAAAAAGGGAAAATAAAGGGGTAAATGCTTTGGTAGCGAAAGGGGAAAACACATCAGAATGTCGCATTTTTCGCCTGTCCAGAGGAAATAATGTTGATAAATTACTCACTTTTCGCCTAAATATCCCCCCCTCGTCTTTGGTGGAATTCCGACTGTATCTAAACGTTCTCGAGTCACTGTCCGGTTGTAAATTGTATGTTACCACCGAATACGAGGACTGAAGCAGATTTTCTGAAACCACGTGCATCATTCAAACTGGCTGCCTTCAACGTTCGCACATTTATGCAGGTCGGACAACAGATAGGGCTGGCTATGTCTTTGGAAAGTCTTAATATCGACGTGTGTTGTCTATCCGAGACCCGTATTCAAGACTCTGGCGAAGTACTACAAATTCGATCTCCATCTGTCGCTTCGAAAAGCCTGTTTTACGTGCGCTTATCCGGGGACCCTGTGGCATCTTCGTCTGGTTTTGCTGGCGTTGGTGTCGCACTAAGCGCTAGAGCTGAGGCAGCACTAGTCGATTGGATCCCCATTAACAGTCGGTTATGTGCTGTTAGATTAGAAAGTTCCATCAAAGTGAGAAGAAATCGGCGTGAGAAACGATGTCTTTTCGTCATCTCCGCCTATGCCCCGACAGATTGCAGCCCGGATGCAATCAAGGATGAGTTTTACCACCAGTTATCAGTTCTTCTCCAGAAAGTGCGTTCGACAGATATTGTAGTACTAGCCGGAGACTTGAATGCTCAGGTCGGGCGTCTAGGCACAGAAGAGAGTCGTTTAGGTGGCCGATGGGGACTCGTTGGTCGCAGGTCAGATAACGGGGACCGTCTACTGCAACTTTGCACAGACCACAACCTGTTTCTGGCTAGCACTAACTTTCGGCACAGTCATCGCCGATGTGCCACCTGGCGTCCTCCCTCTGCATCTCAAGCCTGGACTCAAATTGATCACATCGCGATCAGCTACCGCTGGCGTGGTTGTGTACAAGACTGCCGCTCCTTTTGGAGTACCTATCTGGACTCTGACCATGCCTTGGTCTGCGCCAATCTTGCCTTACTTTTCAGTGGACAACGAAGTGAACGCCATCAACGGATTGATGTTAGCAAGCTGGTTGCAACTTCTGTTGCAAGTAAGTATCGAACCGAGCTAGCCTCTAGGCTAGCTACCACTCCACCGAAAAGTATAGATGAGCATTGGTTGCAATTGCATGACGCCATGAAAATGGCGGGAACAGTCAGTTGTGGGTTTGCGAAACGTCCCGCTTTTAAGCACTGGGTTTCTTCTGGTTCCTTACAACTCATTGAAGCCCGTCGGTCTACTCCGGGTAACCGTGAGTTTGACCATAAACGAAGGATTTTACGTAAGGAAATCGGGCAAAGCTTGCGTAAGGACCGAGAAGCCTGGTGGTCGATGCGTGCTAATGAGCTGGAAGCAGCAGCTGCATCTGGTAACTACCGGAAGCTCTTCCAACTCATCCGAGCCACTGGCAGCAAGAAGTCTGGTGTGAGTGAAACAATCTGCGAGGATGACGGGATGCCAATCACTAACATCCATCGACGTCTTGGACGATGGGCAGAATTTTTCGAAGGGCAGTTCAACTGGCCTGCTGCTCCGGTAACATCGGTCAGACTGTCCTGCCCTCCATGGCCGGTGACGACTGATCCACCAAATGAGGAGGAAGTCCGCAAGGAACTCCAACTCTTGAAGCGTTACAAATCACCTGGCCCAGATGACTTACCTCCGGCTCTTTTTAAAGATGGTGGTGACTTTTTGACTAAGGAATTGACGACGTTGTTTACAAAGGTTTGGGAACTAGAGAGTGTACCAACGTCATGGAATGAGTCGATAGTTGTCCCTATCTTTAAAAAGGGTTCACGTCGTTCTTGTAACAACTATCGGGGGATAAGTTTACTTCCGATTGCGTCCAAGCTATTGGCTTCCGTCATTCTTCGTAGGTTGTTCAAAACCCCAGAAAGATTGACTCGCGAGGAGCAGGCTGGGTTTCGTTCTGGTCGAGGATGTATTGATCATATCTTCACCCTCCGCCAAATGTTAGAACACCGCCATACTTTTCAAAGGCCAACAATCGTAGTGTTTCTTGACATCAGGGCTGCCTTCGATTCGTTGGATAGGACTGTTCTCTGGGATTGTCTATTGAAGAAGGGTGTGCCTGAGAAGTTTATTAACATCCTAAAAGCCCTGTATAAAAACACCTCAGGCAGAGTGAGGGCATACAACCACCTCTCTCCATTGTTCCATTCGAGCAGTGGGGTTAGGCAGGGTTGCCCAATCTCACCATTCCTCTTCAACTTTGCCATCGATGACATTCTGGAAACAGCTCTGATGGATGTAAGTAATGGCGGTGTGGATCTGTTGCCTGGAGAAAGACTTCTCGACCTTGAGTATGCGGACGATATTGTCTTACTGTGCGATAATGCCCAAGGCATGCAATCCGCACTTAATCAGTTGGCAATCAATGTCCGTAGGTATGGTATGTGCTTTGCACCTTCGAAGTGCAAAGTACTTCTACAAGACTGGCAGGATTCTAATCCTGTACTCACCCTGGATGGTGAGCAGATAGACGTAGTTGAGAAGTTCGTGTATCTGGGTAGCTGCATAAGTGCTGGTGGGGGTGTGAGTGATGAGATCAATGCACGAATAGTGAAAGCCAGAGCGGCTTATGCCAATCTGGGCCACCTTTGGCGCCTTCGTGATGTTAGTCTGGCTGTAAAAGGCCGGATCTACAACGCGTCGGTGAGAGCAGTTTTGCTCTATGCTTGTGAAACCTGGCCTCTCCGAGTTGAGGACGTTAGACGACTCTCTGTGTTCGATCATCGCTGTCTCCGAAGGATTGCTGACATTCAGTGGCAACAACATGTCAGTAATGCAGAGGTTCGGCATCGTGTGTTCGGGCACAGAGATGATAACTCAATTGGTGTCACCATCTTGAAACACCGACTTCGGTGGCTTGGACATGTTCTCCGAATGTCGTCCCAGAGAATTCCACGTCGTGCATTATTTGCCGACTCTGGGACTGGTTGGAAGAAGCGGAGAGGTGGTCAGTGCATGACATGGTGTCGTGGCATGAAAGAAAGCTGCAAAGGACTGGCTTGTGTTGGTCCTTCACGACTCCCTGGCTGGGGTCCGAGAGATGGTGCTACACAGTGGCTAGAGACGTTATCAGATATGGCTCAGAATAGAAGCCAGTGGCGATCCTGCTGTAACCTTCTTTTACTTTCTTCATAAAAAGTGGCTGTGTCTCCTTTACCTGAAAGATTTCTTCTGATTGTACCTCTTCGTCATTACTCTCTTTTTCTTTTGCGTTCCTTAGTTTTTTTTTTTCTCTTCGAATTCCCATTGTTTTGTGTGGCGCATATATATTGGCGCTCTCTTGTACCAATATTTATGTGTTCAAATAAAAATAAATATCCCCCAAATTACCGAATTTTCGCCCAACTGTCCGCAGAATTGTTTACTTTTCGCCTAAATGTCTGCTGAATTGTTTACTTTTCGCCTAAAGTACACACAGAACTCCCTATTTTCCATCCATTGACATAACCCCAAAGGTCTACTATGTTCACCTTTATTTTCAACAACAGACCAAAATAAATCTGCAATACAGTGAAAGACCGGCATGTTTTTGAAAAATTTTATTTAAAAGGTAAAGCGTATTATTGTACAACACTAGAGCAGAAGCTTAAGCATCGATTGTTCTGCATATCCAATGCAATTGCTAATTCATTGTTATTTGAAATTATCTGCAAAAGAAGAAACACGTGATGTATTATTTATAAGTGATGTGCATTTATTCAAAAGTTCACTGACACTCAAACACACATTCTCAACACTTCTACAGT